TACAACCTGCACTGGGGCCCCGCAAACCCCAGCTACGGCCCTGTTGCTAAGGTATGTGTTTTAATATGTGTTTTAGCATGTTACTATGTGTGTGTGTGTGTGTGTGTGTGTGTTTAGCTCATTTTCTTTCTATTTTATTGTCAGAATCCTCTCCTCTCTTATGGTTTCAGCTGTATTTCTTATCCTCCTCCTACTGCTCATTTTCTCTCCCTCTATTTCTGTGCATTTGTCCTTGTGGGATCAAGTATCTCAGCACACACAGAGCACTGTTAACAACAATGAGAGCTGGGTGAGACTCTGTGTGTGTGTGTGTGTGTGTGTGTGTGTGTTTAAGTGCGGGGTGTCAGAAGAAAAGGTCTTGTGTATGAGTGCTGGGTGAGAATCAAGGTGAACAGTGAGACTGGAAACTAGTTAAAGACGAACAGGAGATGTTTCAGACCTACCTTTGCCCAAAGAACGCGTGTGAACCTCCAAGAAACTCACAAGCGATCAGACAGGTGCGCAAGTCATTTGAATGAATCGGTGTCTCTGTCTCGTTTCAGACTCCACCCATCCACATCTGCCACTGCTTCTCACAGGATTTACTGAATAAACTGTGGGAAAATGGTTTAATTCAATATTATACGGCTCCCAAAACACTTTATTGTGATTGTCTAATGACACCATTTTGGGATTAAACTGAGTGAGACAAAGAAAAAAAACAGTCTCTGGCTTTAATCCAGAATTGATGCATGCTGAGCGTACATTAAAGTTGGCATGACATTAAAATTCACTCTTTTTCAAAATACCCTCTGTAAAAACCTTTAACTCTGTAATATGTATGGTATTCCAAATGTATTGTGCAAGATTCTGGATGTGCATCTTGTTTCCTTTCCTCAAGGAAATGATGCAAGGATGAGATTTGAGGACGGAGAGATCAAAACAAGACATATTTATGAAAAAGCATATCCTTATTTCATGCATTTTGCGCTGGCTGTATCATGCACATTTCGGCTAAAGCAGTAGATCATCTGGGTATGATGCATGAATGCAGCCACACTCCTGCATTATGCAGCGTAATATCAATCCACCTTCACTGTCACAGCACGGTTTGTACCAGACACACTCGCTCGCATACAGTGCAGCTTAGCTTTCCCATTGCATCAATAAAATGTTTACGTCGCTCCCAAATGAGATGGACTGGAGATGAAAAAGGAAATCTAGATTAAGACCAGCAGCCAATCTTCATAATGAAGGCCAGCCTGATGTCAGCCACAACTCACATTCAGCCTGGGCCATTCAAACCATCTTATCTATGAAAACACCCCACACATCATCCACTTCAGATCAGCCGGAAATAATCCTCTCAACTCAGGTTGATTTCAGCAATGGGTCTTGAAGTACCATAAAGCTATAGTGAATGGATTGGGGGCTCTTTGACACAATGGAGCAGTTCATGATCGCTATTGAGTCGGGACAGGATTTCGCTCTGCTGATAAAGAAAATTATTTTATTAACTCTGACCTTGTTTTTACTGACCTTTCTCTATGAGGATCCTCCCGATTTATCATCATCATCATCATCAAACTTTATTACAGACTCAAGGTCCAATTTTTGTTTTATCCAGTTGTATTTACTCAGTGCAACTTATAACATCCAAGTGAAAGATATAACACCAACACGTCAGAAAAATAAATAAATTAAAAACCAGGGGGTGATTCTTTTCTCACTGTATAAGACCATATGCAAGAACTAACACACACACACACACACACATAATAATTAGACCATTGAATGAGACGGACTTTGATATATGTTTATCTACCGAATACAGCACATCAAGATTCAGTTTCAGCCCATCATTAGTATATAACCTCATTAACAATCATCAGAGCATGCTGGTAGTGCATGGGTCAGATAAAGGTGTTCAAGGATTAAGCGTAATAAATAATACACCTCTTTTCTGAGGTACCAAACAGAAAACAGTTGGGCTGGAAAAACAGAAATGGGAGTGCACACGCACCTGTGAGGTCACCGACATATAGCCAGGGCTCATGAATATTATTTGGTTGTACAAACTCATTTAAATAAATAAATAATCTATGTAATGTATTGCAAATGGAGTTCAAATCTCTATTAGGCCAACAGTAGGCTATGCTAATTTCCTAGTCAAAGCTGTTAACAAATAAAAATGCGCTTAAGTTACTGCGAGTCATGCATGTGAATCGCATTATTACGAACAAATGACAAATTATGTTAAAGACAAAGAGAAAGAAAAAACTTTCAGAGCTTTATCAACAATATTCACTGCTTAAATCCCTGAAATGATGAGATGAACCCCTGGCCTTCATCTACTGTAAATTCATCCTAAAGCTCCCCCTACTGGGGGCAACAGAGATGAACACACAATCCACGGCAGACAACACACAAACGACACGCACAGAAAGAGCCGATTGAGACTTTTTATTCTGGGTTTCTCGGTTTAACTTTTAATACTCTTGTGTTTGAAAGCGAATGAGGATCATGGAGAACCATACAGAGAGGTGATCACAATGAGGCGATCTGAAAGGTCAGTGAAATAGCCTACTTTTACCCAGAAATCACATCATGATGGATAATAATCAACAAACAACATCTGTAACCAACTAGACCATATCGTTAAATAACGTCAAGGCCTGCCTGAGGATGAAGGTATCACCCTTACAAAAATCAACCATGGTTTTACTACAAATAAAACCAAAAAACAGGGTTACTTAAACCATGGGAACCACAAATTAACCATGGTTTTGCTACACTAACCATAGTTTAACCATGTATTTGTAGTAAAACTGTGGTTATACAAATGGTAATCAATACGCCAAAAAACCATGGTTACTACACTTTTACTGTAGTAAAACCGTGTTAATTTTCATAAGGGCAGAACCTTCTGCCTCCTTCCAAAACTTCCAGAACATTCATAAACTTATTCTCTTTAAAAGAACCAGATACCTCGATCTCTTTACGACACTACTCTCAAAGGAATAGTTCCCCTAAAATAAAAATTGTCATCGTTTACTCGCGTTCAAAAGTCTTAATAATCGTTCTACGAGGAAGTTCCCGCCACAACTATAACGATAACTTTTTCAGAACGATGGGTTTTTTTTTT